GTGCGTAGCCCAACTGGTGAGGCATAACCACTGCTCTTCGTTGGAATCACACTTATAGAGGGAGATTAGGCAGCCTCATCCGTTGATCTGACCTCAGCCGCGTCTATGATGGAACGCCGGTTTTGAAATATCGATAAACGAAAAGTTTTCTAGCCCAGTGCCGGGCTCCTCTCCTTTCCAAAAATTCGGAACCGTTGTCTATCCTTTTGTCTTGTAATAGCTCTCAGAGAGAGAAGAATTCAATGTACAAGGCGACAAGGGACTATTCATCAAATGCAGTTGAAATCTATATAAATATAATCAATAGAAATTTACTATACAGTTCTGACGAACAACAAAAAAGGATAATTTAAGAATACTTTTGGCAACTAGGAGACTTCAACAGTGTTACTACGCAAATATTCTTTGTACATTGTATTCGACGAGACTGTGCTCGGAGTCGACGGTGGTGTCTTCTCTTCAGTACTCAGCTCTGCCAGGACGGTTGGGCCGTCTTTACACTGCTTTGAGTTCTCATCGGTTTTTTGCTTAACAAGTACTTCAGATGGAGATTTAGCAGAGAAAGCGACGCGACGACCAATCAGCCAGAAGGTTTCCATCACGCCCTTCCCCTGAAAAGGTTCTAGGCTGTATATAAAGAGTTCTCCACTAAAATGCTCTGTGATTCCATATATAAAGTATTACTTCTGCTTTGTGAAACTTTATAATATGTAAGAAATTCGGAAAGTGGTTAGCTATTTTCATAAGAGTCCTGAGGATTGTTAGGCTATCTTTCTTAACATCTCTCTCATCTTTAATTGAGGTTCTCAGGCCGATAAGTTGGATCGCTCGGTACGCTACCTATCCTGAAAGTCATTCCAGCAAAGGAGATGAATTTTGTCCAGGGGCCACTTCGATCTACTGCATGGAGAGTCGAACTACTTCCCACTGCTAGCTGATCGTGAAGAGGGAATTTCGCCATGTGACCTTCTGTGATGCGAATCCTTCGAAGGCTCAGTTCAAGATAAACTTGGTTTCCGAT